TTAGCAAAGAAATAAAAGAAAACATAAGGAAAGACAGGAGACAACGGCGGATGGAAACAATTGAGAGACATATCAGACAGACAGGAGGTATAAAGAAGGCATATAAAGAACTCACTAATAAAAAAGAATGGATTGTGAAGATGAAAAACAGCAGCGGCATTAAGAAAATTGGTAGAAAGGAAATACTAAACATCGCTACAGACTACTACACCGAGCTATACAAGGACAACACCAATGAAAGAGAAATAGAATTACCAGACAACGAAATTATACCTTACATCCTGCAGGAAGAAACAGAAAAAGCTATTAATACCCAAAAAAGTGATAAGGCTCCAGGACCAGATGGCATAAGCAATGAAATACTGAAGCGAATGAAGGCAGATTTAATACCTATACACACAGAAATTTTCAACAGTGTTATTAACACAGAAATCATCCCAAAACAATGGACTGAATCCAACATAATACTTCTATTCAAGAAAGGGAACCACTGCGATATGGGAAATTACCGGCCTATTAGTCTAATGTCTAATATTTACAAAATTTTTGCTAAAGTTATTTTGAAAAGAATAGAAAGAAAATTAGACGAGCAACAACCAATAGAACAGGCAGGATTTCGCAGGGACTTCTCAGTACTGGACCATATCCATACTGTAAGGCAAACTATAGAAAAGTACTCTGAATACCAACTTACATACTATATAGCCTTCATTGATTATAGCAAAGCGTTCGATTCTCTGATACATTCAAAAATTTGGGAATCCTTAAAAGAACAGGGTATAGAACACAAATATATAAGGATTATCAAGAATATCTACAGTCACAGCACAGCATGCATTCACTTAGAACAGAAAGGAGAAATGTTCCAGATACAAAAAGGCGTGAGGCAGGGAGACCCCCTCTCGCCAACACTTTTCCTGGCTGTTCTAGAAAACATCTTCAGGAAAATTGAATGGAGAGACTTAGGCATAAACATCAATGGCCGCTCAATAACACACTTGCGATTCGCAGATGATATTGTACTATTTGCAAAAACACCAGACGACCTAGGAAAGATGATTAATGACCTAGCATCAGAAAGCGCAAAGTTTGGACTAAAATTAAACCCGGAGAAAACAAAAATCATGACCAATGGCAAGAAAGATCCTGTAACAGTGGAACAGACTCAAATCTCCTACGTCGACGAATACATATATCTTGGCCAACTGATATCCCCAGAGGATAATATAAACAAAGAAGTTGAAAGAAGAATTGCGAATGGCTGGAAAAAATACTGGGGCGCTAAAGAAATAATGAAGGACAAAAACCTACACATTTCAACTAAAAGTAAACTATTCAACACATGCATCCTGCCCGTATTGACATACGGAAGTGAGACATGGGCTTTAACAAGAAACATTGCAAATAAACTATCCACTTGCCAACATGCCATGGAAAGGAGTATGGTAGGGATCAAAAGAAAGGATAAAGTAAGAAATAGCAACATCAGAAGCAAAACTAAGGTCCAAGACATAACCCTGAAAATAAGAAGGCAAAAGTGGAAATGGGCAGGCCACATGATTAGAGGAAAAGACAAATGGAGCAAAATAATCACACAGTGGTACCCAAGGGATGGAAAAAGAAAGAGAGGTAGGCCACAGAGAAGGTGGGATGATGATATCAGACAAGTCGCTGGAACAACATGGGGTAGAGTAGCCACAGAAAGACGGGAATGGAGAAGATTGGAGGAGGCCTTTGCCACCTGGCAAACGGACATTCAAAACATGAATAAAAGGAACATGTATGAATAATAACTAAAGGAAAATGTCTGATTAAAAGGCTTAAATAAAATGTTAGTTACTACTCAAAAGTATTTTAGTTTAGTTGAAAGTTTTTTTACAGGTTTAGTTGTCTAGGTTGTCTACAATAGTAATTTTTATTTTAGATAGAACAAAGGTTAAAATACTAGTGTCTACATAGGTAATGTAAATATGAAATGAAAAACAATAAAAATGGTTATGCTATTGCGTGTAAGTTATACATTAAATATTAATACGTTCGATATGCTTTCCATTGTATGGCCGCGTTTTAGTACTGAGTTATCTTTGTCTATATTTTTCTACGTACTTATCGATATCTGTGTAATGGAACATTAGATGGAATTGATTCAAGCTTATTGGTTTTGTTAAATATAAATTATATTAGGTTAATAAATCCTTTTGTCTTTTGTCTGTTAGATCTTCAATCAATAAGAGGTGTAAGTTCGGCTAGAATTGTAAGCATAAAATTTTGATATAATTTTATTAAGTAATTCTTTTAGTTTGTTATAAGCTTAAACTTTGCTCCATCTTCTGACATTTTTCAGTCTTCTAACTTCGTCCTCATCATCATCGTGTACCTTCTGCAAGGCAAGGGCCTCTTCTCACGAAGAGAAATGAGCTTTAATCGCTTGCTCAAGATGGATAGGCCATTCCAAACTCATAAAAAATCTAATTTCCGAACGATTGTTCCTTCATGGTGTGTTAAGGTTTTGAATTATCCGAAATATTAAAAACAATAAATGTGGGAGAGCCATGCTCCGGCACGAATAGGTCAGTTCGACCAGGTTGATACCACGACCTCACAGACAACCAGCGTGAAACAACCATAGCGTCGAGTTTAGTCTTTGAGTGAGATTATTACAGGCCTCATCCTTCCCCCCAATCCCTGAATCTCGAAAACAAAACTCAAAGAGTCGGCAGCGTAATCGTAGTCGTAACTCCTCCGTTGATGCGGGTATCCAGCGGCGCTGATTGGTTACCATCAGGTAATAAGCTTGTTCATTTGCCGTCCTATCACATAACAACATCGAGAATGTCTTAAATTATGATAAACAGAGACTTAAGATTATAGTGAGACAATATATGTAGGTACTTTGAAAATTTTTTTGCAAACATACTAGACGATACTTTGTAAAACATTTCTTAGAATGAGTAATCTGAATAAGCCGTAAGCCACGCTAATCATAATGCCGGCGACATGTTTGTTTACACGTCGAATTTACATTGTACGCGTATAATTTCACCGTAGATGGCGCTACATAGCGTATAATATGACCGATAGATACGCTTTGAAAATAACGGTTGATAAGCGAGCCAGGTTATGGGTTTTCGTTTGATCTCTAAGACGAGTTCCTCGGCATATTGTTCGTCGATGATACTGAGCTAGAAGTTTAGGATATTTATGATTGATAAATATTTTCGTATCATTGTCATTACATATTTAAATCAAAATAATTTATTTCAATTAGCCTTACAGGCACTTTTGAACGTCAAACAAAGCTTAAAGATAAAAAGTATCAGTCTGCCGGTCAGTCCTTATAGTGAAGCTCCTTCTAAATTGTAGACTCCGATGGAGAAGAACGAGCAAGAAATTCCATGGTTACTCGTTTTAACTCAGTTTTACATTCAGATACTTTGTTACATCACATATATTATATTCATCCCTCCTCATGAGTTTGGAGAAATAGAAACAGTCAGAAAATACTAAATAAGTTGATTCTGCAATTACCTTTTGAGAAACAATCATATCAATATAGCGATGGTCTTCGGAAAGTTTCGAAAGCTGTATTGAAATCATGAATGTTCGTGACAGTCAAAAGGTCATCGTGGGAAGCTTGCATGATATGCAAACACACACACATACATAGATAAAGCTAATCGAATATTTGTCAGTGCTATAGCCAATAAAATTTCTAACATAGTTTTAATTTAGCACCAATTTTTCCACTAGCTTCATAAAAAACCCTATTAATGTCTTTGTAAACCTAGTTCACAACCAGAATTGTATTTTAATAGAAAAACGATAGGGTTAAACACAGATGGATATGTAGGAAACCTGTGTAGTTTTAATAAATTATACTCCAACAGGTGACGTGTTAGCCCACTTAAGTATGAAGTGTGGTAGAGCTAAGCTTCGGTACGAATGGGTTGGAGTGATACCTTGATCTCACAGAAAACCGGCGTGAAATAACCACAGCGTTGTGGTTTGCCGTGTTTGTGAGGTTAGCGGAAGCCCATTCTTCCCATACCGGGCTTGGCTCATGAGTCCTCAATCCCTCATTCTCCGAAACCCTAATCCGAAGAGGCCGGCAACGGACTCGTAACTCCTCTGGTGTTATCATAGTGGTACCATCAAGTAATCCGTTCCCCCAATTGCATGAAAAATATCACATAAAAACGTAAAAACATGGGTTTTCTTCACTCTACAGAAAAACTACATTCTGTAAATATGAAGCTGTTATTGTATGGGGAACTGATCCTATGTTATTTGTTCTGCCGGGCAACGACCTCTAGGGAAGTCCACTGGAAATTTGATGACAGACATGTTTATTTCCGAACGCTAATAGGTTTTCGGATATTGACATGCACCTGTTAACACCTGCTTGCCAGCCAGAGAAGCTGGTTGCGCCATTCTGCCCTAGTTCACGATACGCCGCTAAACGGTACCATTAGGAGTGCTTAGATAAAGGTGAAAGAACTCTGGAAGGTCGTGGTGATTTAAAAATAGGATGTACGAATAGATTAGGGATATCCTGGTATAATAATATAATATTATCATAGATGTCTTTGTGTTAGTCTGGTAATTTTTTTTATGGATCTCTTAATTTTGTATTCATGGTTGTTTAAAGTTTTACCTTTTCATGGTTTAGGTTAAACAGTTTTTATATCTATTATGTCTATAAAATTTGTGTATTTCTTAATAAAGTTCTGTAAATTTATCGTATTTGACGGCTATATTAAATTATTATATTTATTTCATTAACACGATATTTTGATCAAATAAAATCCTAATCATGGCGTTATAATTTTGCGTCGTTAGATATGACAATTCTTCTAGGTCATCTAGAAAATTAACGTTAAGCTATATTTATGAAAAAAGACCAAAATTCACAACCATAAACTTCATTATTTTTGTTAGTTATTATAAATGCTACGTTTCATTTCTGAAAGTCTTCTTCAAATGTTTTTCTTTGTCCGCAGGGTTGCGGTTTCGGTTGCCAGTTGCATCACATAGTGTACTGCCTCATATTTGCTTACGCGACAGAACGTACCCTGATACTCAACTCAAAAGGTTGGCGGTACAACAACAAAGGTTGGGAGTATGTCTTCATGCCCATATCGGATACCTGTACCAGCGCCTACGATGACAAAGTTGTTATGTGGCCAGGTAAATATTACACATTCTTTTTTGCATGGGGAAGGAAAAATCGTTACATGACCCCTTCTCCCAGCCTGGGTCAGGAGGGAGGGAGTGTCAGACTCTTACTAACTTGAAACTCTCCCGTTCCTTCTCCTGCTCTAGGCCGAGGCCATGGTCTCTTATTGCGCTTACCCCGCAATCTCGGCTACCAACAATCGATTTTGGCTTATCATATTTGGTCAAATGTTTGTCACATACATATTGCTACACTAAACTATTAATAAGTTGAGTGTGATCTACTACTGAACAGATATTACAGGGTTGTAGATTAAATTGACCAAGATTATTTCTAAGCCTTGAAGATTATTTTAACAAGATCCTTTGAGAAGAAGGATTAGGTGATAAAGGAGTAGGTAGGGTCAAATAAGTAGCTTGCATTGCATTCTCTTCACCGTGATGTTTATATATTAAAATTAACGACTTAATCACGTGAAATACCCAGAAAAACTTACTATAAAATAAGAACTCTAAATACTCGTTTCTAGTTTTAGTTTAGTTTCACATTTTAGTTTTTTTTTTGTTAATTTCAGAGATGGGTATGGAATACTCGGGTGAAGGTACCAAGTTTTTCTTTATTTTTTTTTTCATTTAGTTCATATATTTTCAGTAAGTTCATTATTCACAGATAAAATTCACCTGTCTTTGTCTGATTGAAAATCAGTTTAATCAGTGTTAAAATAAGTAATGTTTTTCAATATCAGCATAATTATTACTGACTTATTTAAAAGAAAGTATAGTTCACTTTTACATTCCTGTTTATCATCTTTTACATTTTTATTTCAGCTCACTTAAGTAATTATTTTCAGTTATTTTCACAAGTTTAGGTAACTAAGATAATAAAATTAAATAGAGTGATAGTTGTAAAATAGTAAGAAGGTATTTTTCTATAAATATGTAAGTCTCCAAATTTATATTTCAGTGGCAAAAGCATTTTTACTTGCCCTTGTAAAGAATGGAGCTAACCTATTAAAACTCAGGACTAATAAACGGAACCGTCGCGGTGTGTACTTACCTAATGATCATTCCAGTATTGTTTGTGTAGATATCTACAGATATTTTCCGATTTGTTTATGGAGTAGATACATATAGCGATAGTTTTGGAGTTGTGAGGAATTAAAATATAGTCCTTTTAAAAAGTAAATACCTCGGACCGTCTTTCGTCTGACGTTGCGGTGCGTTTTAGAGACCGCATCATGATGGCGCCTGGTGTGTTCACACTGCTTGCACCTCCATACATATATACGTTTATTTATTTATATTGTAGTGGAATTAATGCCGACTACCATTGTCTAGTTTATGGTGATACAGAGACACGTCATAGTAGTTGCAACAGCTATAAGGGCATAAGTTATGATCAATACATTACCCAAAAATAAAATAAATGTTCATGTATATGTAGATATATAATGATTTATATGACATTTATCACAAGATAGGAAACTTATTAAATACATATACTATATACATATAAATATAATTTATTTTGATTGGTATTATGCACTTTTCATTACTATAAACTATTAATTTCAACGTATGCATTAAGAAAATTGAATATCCTACTACTATTATAAAGGCGAAAGTTTGTAAGTATGGATGTATGGATGTTTGTTACTCTTTCACGTAAAAACTACTGAATAGATTTGAATGAAACTTTACCACAATATAGCTTATACATCAGAATAACACATAGGCTACAATTTTTGAGGTTTCTAATGTGAGGTCGTAAAAAAACACATTTTTTGCGCTTACGTTTCCAAAGCGAAGAATCTGCATGTTTATGCTGAAGGAAAAAGATCGTTAAATGTAGTTTATAGGAGTATACTGCAGTAGCTACCTATAAATCTATGATTAGGGCTCTGCAGCACTTATTTACCGTATTTCTTACTTATTACTAGACTAGACGGGACGAACCTGAAGTCCACGCGAACGAAGTCGCGGGCAAAAGCTAGTACCTATATAATATCTTCTGTCTTATAATATATTATCGACATTGCAAACTAAAATAATTTATTATTTATTTTCGAGATAAAACAAGATTGGCTATGAGAGATTATTCATTAGACAACGGGGAGAGCTACGGGGAGTTGGTAGAAAGAGTCGTTGTTAACGTTCATCAAACACAATCTTCAGAGTGTAATTGTATACTTTTTTTTTTTGATTGTGCTGTCTCGTTTACATTATGCTTGTCTTTTGATGTCATGGTCCTTCTTATCCTACTATAATATTATAAATGTGTGAGCTTGTCAGAATGTATGCATATATAGGTATGTTTGTAATTCTTTTACGCAAAAACGGCTGCACTGATTTGGTTGTGGTATGTATAGGCAATAGGATAGGCGATGTCCTGGATTAACACATAGGCTGATTTTTGTCAACATACCACGCGTCCGAAGCCGTGGGCGAAAGCTTCTCCTAAGTCGTATAAGAAAAGTTCCAAGCGCAAAAACATTTGTAGATATATACAAACATACATACACATCTGATACCTGTCCTCTATTGGAGAAAGAAGCGGCAATGGGACTATAAATGAATTTGGGGTAACATTGCCTGACATTGATCTTTCGCTTCATTTTTATTCAAAAATCTGTTTAAGCATGGAAGTCGACTGAGGGCGCTCTTTCATAATAAGCTATTTTGAAAACGTAAACCCTCTGTTATTAAGAGCTATTTTCACATTACAGATATCTGATTATCAAAAGGATTTTTTTATTCAATAATAGGGTTAAAATCTTCTGTTTGGAAAAAACCCTAATTATAAAATAAAGATTTAAAAAAAGGATTTTTTATCTTATTTTCACCATCGTACCTAAAGACGATCAAAAAAAAAATAATTATAGGTTTTGATCAACGACAAGCATAGTGGAAACGAGGCTCCGTTTTAACGTCGTATTATTGAAGTAGTTGTGATTTACATGTCAAAGCAATGTAATAATAATTATTGGTTTTAGTAATTCTGGTAGATCACTCAATTGTTTCCAAGTTAATATTAAGTACAATGCTATGGTATTAAACAATGTTTTGTCTGTTTGCCTGTAAAATAGTTAAATATATTCGTAAACATTAAAAAAATACAACACACACACAAATAAACTATCAGTGATTCGATTATATATTTTAAAGGAAACTATTTTAATGTAAATAGGTTTATGTAAATTGTAATCCTATGTAGTACATAGTTTACATGGCAAATAACTTCGTTACATCTGTTCTTTATATATACATATAGTAGTATATGTTTAATAAGGTTGTTATTCAATGTAAAATGTAAGTGTAGTTTATAAGTACATTATATTATGTGAAACGAAATAACAATAACAATATCCTTGAAAAAAATTACACAAATATTTCAGTATTTTGTTAGCACAATAAAAAAATCTATGTCTTATATGAGATTACAGTGACCACCTACTCCTATCTGTCAATTTTATTACATTGGATTTTCAATTTTACATTTAAATATTAAGATTGGAACTCCAATGAAGATTTGACAGAAAGGGTTGACTCACTGGCCATTGTAAATAGAATCCTATATTAATAGTTTTACTGTTTGCATTTCAGTGACCTATGATGCCAAGGTGTTGGCCCTGACGTTTATAGACTCGATATCCCAGAAGCCTAAGTTCTTACCACTCGCCATTCCAAAGGATTTGGCACACAGGTGAGTACACACTACAGTATAATAGTTTATAGTTTACACACTGGATCTGTCATTGTATACTTGCCTTATAGAATTTCAAGTCATTTAGTAACATTTTTATTTCTCATTCTCTTCTTTTCAAACGTTGCCCCACACTAGAATTTTCTGTGTCGTGGATGCGGTTACAAACATACAATTTACATACCTATACTTGAATTAACATTAATATTTTCGGGCAGCGTCATTTAAAGTAAGTAAACTATTTTAACTGCGATTAAGGAACTACAAGTGTGTTGTCGGCCCTTTGGGAGTGTTTGTGATTTGGAGTTTAATTTTGTGGGATGAAGATCACACAATGCAACCGTTGTTTTACTCCGGTTCTCTGTGAGGCCGTGTTAACACTTGATAGTGGATTGATAAGAAACGATATAAAAAAAAGCTTTCAATCTTAATTGGCATTTAAATACTCGGTGGACTGTTGTTATCAAATTATTATGTAATAACATTGTTGATTACAGAATAACAGTTTTTTGTAGATTTTTAATATAAATGTTATTTAATTTTCCTACAGGATAACGAGATTTAACGGTGACCCATCATCATGGTGGATAGGTCAGATGCTGAAATACATTCTGAAGCCTCGGCAGGCGATGCAGAAAGCTATCAACGATACTATAGCTAAAATGAACTTCAAGAAACCTATAGTTGGGTAAGGAAATCACCATTTTTTCTTTCTAATGAGCATACGGACCTCCTGATGGTAAGCAATTACCCGAGCATACGGCGCGTAGCGTTCCGCGCGCGCCTCAATGAGTCAATACACCACCATAGACGAGGCCCTATAGAGCTGATGTTCAGACGGGGTTGTGGGGTAAGCGCAATGAGACACGGCGGCTACGGCCTAGAACAGGAGAAGGAACGGGGGCATTTTTAGTCAGTAAGAGTCTGACACACCTCGTTCCGTCGAACGCGACAGAAGCCATTTGATGATTTTCCCCTCACAGAAAAAGAACAGTACACACATATTTCACGCCTACCTCCTTAGTACGGCATTATTAATGTGACCTACGATCTATTAGAATTTTTAAGGTGTGAAAGTCATTTAATCATTATCAAAAAAAGGGTGAAACACCATAGGCCTAAATCCGTATCTAAAATTATACATGACATTATTTTCCTTATCATTGAATGTATGTAGTTGAATAATTACTAAAATTCGTGTGCAACCTATGCAAAACTAGGCGTATTATTAAATTAAACATATTTTATCGTTGCGATAAGCAAACATTTACCGCAAAATTAATTGCTAGTGCGTCGGTATATCGCTTTATAAGCATTTACTGTTTTATGGGCAGAGTTCGCATTGTTAAAATTTTATTTACTGAGTAACGAGGTTTTATGGCGTTCATAACTTTCATAATGTTAGTTATTATGTGTTTTTTTTTACAGTGTATTCATTTTATTTTCAATTACGGAGACTATGACGTAGTATTAAGTGAATTCGTTAGACAGTATATAATGTGCTAGCTTCCGCTCGCGGCCTATAAAAATAATGTATCCCGTGAGTTAAAAACAGCAGCATTTAAAGCGATAGCTCGACTAAAATACGCAAATCAAAGCATTTTCACTATAATTCACTCAGGAACATTGTAGCTAATGGATATATTAGTGAAAGGTTTTGGAATTGCGGCCAGCGATTCCAAAGATTGTACCCTTACCAATATACAAACTTACAAATTTTACCTCTTTATAATATTGGTATAGATAAAAAAACAACAAAGAAATACTTAAAAACGAATTTAAGTTTAAGAGTGGGCATGGCTACGTATGCCGTAGTTATTGAGATGTACTTATTAGTAACGTCACGATGTCTTCAAATAAAAATATTCTCACTCAAAAAAAGAAACATTTCAAGTAGATATATACAAATAATATTCAAACACTAGCTTCAGGCAGCGGCTTCGCCCGCAGTACGGGGCTAAAAAGTAGTCCAAGTGTTATTCCAGGCTTACAATCTATCTTTTTTATCTTAATTAAATAAAATATTGGAGGCGTTTGACCAGGCATGATCATGACAGCTTTTATTTACTATCAAATTTATATTTTTTTATAACACTGTCACTGCTAGGCTTAGATTAATAAATAATCTATTTCTATAGCCAATTTCATTCAGAACCAATCAATGGTTTTTACGTGAATGGGTAACAAATTTTCGCGTTTATAACAGTGGGATATCAAGTATATGTTATGTTAACTAAAAATCGCGGGTTACTCACGTGTGTATATTGAGAAAAGCTCTACTAGTTTCGAACCACAGAGGGGTTCTTCCTCATGAGCAGCGTGCGCGGACGCGGCGACGTCGCCCAGCCTACTGAACTTTTTTTAGTTAATTTAGTATGTCTCACGATAGTTATTATATGTTATGTGCTCCAGAGTCCACATAAGAAGAACAGACAAGGTTGGTACGGAGGCGGCGTTCCACCACATCCACGAGTACATGGTGCATGTGAAGGATTACTACGACCAGCTCGAGCTGACCCGCCCCGTCGACGTCAGGCGGGTCTACCTGGCTACTGATGATGCTAACGTGAGTCCATTAAGGTTATTTTAGTGTGCATTTTTTTAAGAGGTCGATTTATAAAGTGTTTAATGTCTGCCTGCAAGTTATATTTCTTTCTACCAATTTTTTTATGAACGGTCGTTGCAATCCATTCAACCAATTTTGCAAGTGTGTTTCCGGGTTTTTGTGGTGGATTCATATCCATTTTGGCGGCGTTGTTTCGCGACGATTTCTCTAAGGCCGCGATATCATTACGGTCGCGCCGGTCTATTCGTGCGATTTTCACACGAGAGAGGTAGGTTTTAATAACCTAATATAATTTCGCTATAATAACTGTCCACTCCGTCACAATATTATATTAATTACTTACTGAGGCTGCCCCAGCAATGAAACAGTTACTGTTCAAAGGTTCATGGAGGTACCATGGCATTGCATTCACAGAAAACCGGCGTGAAACAACTATACCGCCCTCCTTCCTAATCCGGAATCGTAATCTCAGCTAGTGTTACGGGCGTACATGGGCGACGCTTGCTTACCATCAGACAATCTGTTCGTTAATCGACCGATGACATAAAAACATTTTTTATCGTTACAGGTGTTGGAAGATGCTCGCAGCAAGTACCCGTCGTACGAGTTCCTGGGCGACCCGTCCATAGCGAAGACGGCGGCGACGCACCGCCGGTACACGCCGCTGTCGCTGACGGGCCTGCTCGTCGACCTGCATCTACTCGCCATGTGCGACTACCTCGTCTGCACCTTCAGTAGCCAGGTAATACACTAGCTCAACTATCCAGAAACTCTTATAACCTAACCTTTAATTACTATATAAATATAACAGGCATCAAGATCATAGGCAACACAAAACATTAAATTAATCAGTAAATATTTAATACCTACGTTTTTTTGTGAAGGGAAAATAATCCAATTATAAAAAGTACCTAACTCATAAATTCATACAAGCATACCGGTTATCAGTACATAGTATAAAACTATATTCCTATGTAAGCTTAAATCTTTAAAACTACGCAACAGATTTTGATGCGGTTTTTTCATCAGATAGAGTGATTGTAGAGGACAGTTTATATGTACAGTAACATCCACAACATAAGTGTGGGAGATCCAAGCTTCTGCACTAATGGGTCGGCTCGACTGGAGTGATACCACGACCTCACAGTTCAACCACAGCGTTGTGTTTCGCTGTGTGAGTGAGGTTACTCAAGGCCACCTTAAAAGGCCGTCAAAGTACTCGTAACTCCTTTGGTGTTGCGGGCGTCTATGGGAGGCGCTGCTGCTTACCATCAAGTAATATGTCCGGTCGTTTGCCGACTTATTCCATAAAAAAATCCATTAAACAGTGAATAAATGTAGTAAGTCTAAGAATCGAAGCAGGTGCTGGTCGTTAACAATAAAAAAACTTTTTTCAGGTCGGCAGAGTAGCGTACGAGATGATGCAAACGAACCGCGTGGACGCGTCGGATAGTTTCTTCTCCCTCGACGACATATACTACTTTGGTGGACAGAACGCTCACGATAGAGTCGCCGTATTGCCTAACGATGGCGCCTACCAAGACATACCGTTCCAGGTTAGTTGCACTTGCGGTTAACAAGCGTTGGCGCCTCTCGAACAACGACGCAGCGTCAACGTTGCGTGGACTCGAAGTCTACGTCAGCGCAACGTTAACGCCGCGTTTTTTGACAACAGGTACAATCTCGCCGTCCTGCTCTATCAAATGTAGTCTTTGGCATACAATTGTTGCCAACAAAAGCGACGTTAGCGTCCTATTATAAATGTAAAAGTTTTGAGTATGTTTGTTAGTTATTTTTTCACGCAAAAACAGCTTTATCAACTTGGTTAAAATCATGGTTTGGTAGATACCCTGGATTAACACATAGGCTGCTTTTTATCATCGAACTACACAGGCGAAGCTGCGGGTGGAAGCTACAGTTATAAATGCGAAAGTAAGCAAAGTAGGTTTACAATTTGCTTCGGCGCGAGTGAGCCGGCCGTAAAGCCTATAAATGATACAGGCTTCACAGAATACATGCGTTACGTTTCGACGTGTGTGTGTAAATGAAATATACTGTAATTGCTATAATTATTTTGTTTATATTTTCAGGTGGGCGATTTAATAGGCATCGCGGGCAACCATTGGAACGGCTACGGTCGAGGCACAAACAAACGAACAAATGTGGTGAGAATAATTACTATACAATTATTATTATTATAAATAATAGTCATTTTCTATATTGTTGAACTCTTTTCCAAGGATTTTATGCAAAATGTAAATTGAGTGCACTTGTTACTAATTTAATATTGGATCTTATTGTCAAATATGTGAAAGTTATGCATAAATATACTTATTTATTTAAGTACATAGAAGACTTACAGCTAACCAACAAATAGTAGCACAATCTTATAAAACACCAGAGAGCCAATAACAAGTCTATGCTTATAGCGAAATTGTGGCTTAAGTAAAGCATGAGCATTGTGAATATAAGCACATGTTAAATGTAAATAAGAAAAAAAAATACAATTCATGATATTTGTTTGTGAACATTATCTGCTATGTAATTTAGAAAGCCTGTCAACTGTCAAATAACCCAAAAATATTTCAAAACAACATTTCTAAATTTCAGAGTTGACTTACGTGTAAGGTGTGTAAGGGCTGATTATTCAAACAAAGCTTACATAAAATTTATCTGCAAAATAATTATAATGCTGTCGCGTCAGAATGTTTGTATAAGACAGTGACAGCAACAATTTTATTTCTCAGATAACATTTATCAGAGTATTGAATAAAATCAGGCCTAAGCAATGATATTACAATTGAAAAGGTGTAGATAGGTCATAAGCGCTCAGCAAGCGACACGTTAGTTAATTTTACATATTTGTCCCTTTTACACTCGCGATTATTGGATCATGCTATCCCACTTTAACGTATATCATACATTTTGTTCTTGTGTACCGTTTTTGAAAATCGAATGTTGTTTATGTAACATATCTACACCATTTTACTTATAATATCATTGGCCCTAAGACGTTATTTTCAATGAATGGATATTTCAGTCGCTGCAGTGAATTGTTCTTCTGACTTATCTATGTGTGGAGGTTCCTTTTTAACTTTATATTATACATCGTGCCTTACTGCAAGTTAGCTTTCCGTTTTCCGCTTTGCTCGTGTATGTTTCACGATACTTAATATTGAGATCTCATGTTTTTTATTCCAGAACGGACTGATACCCTGGTACAAGACTGCGGACCATTTGGTCCTATACCCATTCCCTGAGTACAAACAGGTGCCGCTGTACACAGACACACGACAGAAAGACTTATAAGGAAGGCCCTAGTGGTCCCCTACAGACCTTGGTCACGTGACCCGTGTGACTATTATTATAATTACAGTTTCGTTATTACATCGTGCGCTGTGCAAACGTGTGGGAGCTGAAATCGATAAAAGATTGTATACAGGCCACGCATAAACAATCATTATAAGTCTTAGTACAATGTGATTAAGTTCAATTTTCATTAACGCAGCTTAATGGCCATTGGTCTTTATCGAATTAAAGGATTCGCACAATTAATCAAAAATGTATCTCAGTGTCGCCTGTATACACGTCTTTTACGCGTAGAAATAATATTTATGTCGTTAAAGTTTACGTAAAAACGTCTTTTACGGGCTTGTTAATTGTTAATGGACTGTCTTTAATTAATAATTAATTACTCTATGTACTGTGAACGTGAACCTCTGCATTTCTCTAATAATTGCGGTTGACGGCTTATTTACCTAACTGTTTCACGATATAACTAGACTAGTATCGATTCTACTCAATAATGGCTACTGTTTTTTTTTGTTCGCTAGTTTGGACTTTTCCCAATAAAGAATTAAAAAATATCATATTGTAATTCTATATTAAAAGTTACAGTGATTGGATAATCGCTAAATTATCGCTGTCTGGCGAGCGAAAATTTCTCGCCGTGTCATTAATACTACAATGATACCCATACATGACTATGAGTCCCCAGCAAGGTTTGAAATTAGTCGAGTTATCTCGTCAGTGACGTAACTAAGCCGCAAAACATAATTAATTATCTAAGTCTGCATTTCTGTTGAAGTTTTGAGAATGATTGTTGATTCATAGATTACGGTTGATATTTCAAGTTTGCGTAAATGTATCGAATGAAAACTTATGTTTTTCGGGAGGAATAGATGTTGAAAATTAATTGTTATAATATCGCGCTGTCCGCATTTAATGTTATTCTAAATTAGGACAAACGTACTGGTAATAAAAAAAGTTAGGTACAATAAAAAAATCTCTTTTATCAAAATTGAAACTCAAAAGTTCCCACTTGAAACTCTCAAGCAGCTAATTTAATATCTAATTATTGTTAACAATTACGTTTTCTCAAAATTGAACCATATTGTTAACTACGTAGATGTCAATGTTGAAATAATTCGTCTACAGTGTAATGAGTTTTACTATATTCGACTTTACTGACGTTATTATTGAGATGAAAATCACTGTCTCAATCAGTCTAATCAAAAGTACTGGTCTTGACTATCAAACATATGCATTCCTGTGTGCAGTTTTGACTAATATATAAAAACCGATAAATATTTTGAGCCACATTGCGCTAACGGCTGAGTGAATGCGCAAAAATTTTGCGCATAACGCGAATCACTTTTTACGCAGAACTTGGTAAAACGTAAAACTTTTGAAAGAGTAAACATACTTATGAAGCTCTAGGTAACTTATGAAGCTTATATTTTCATATAAAAAACCCAAGTTTCTCTGAAACTACTAACGATACATCATAGAATTATTATTTATTTATATTATAACAAATTTATTAAATTATTTATCCGTATATGTATTTAGACATTCCATTTTATTTTGTTCCTTTTTGTTTTATATGCATTTAATTTTAGGGGCTTGCTTCCCAATATCTCGATAGCCGCCATATACTAGATAAATTTGAATATGGAACGTGGTTAGAACTAACTATGTATCACGTAAGTTTATTCAGAACTTATGTAAAGGTAAAACAGGCGCTATATATAATTTACTGTATTAATCTTTACTGATTTAAAAGCTATGGCAGTTTTCTTCATAAAAGAGTTTATATCTCAAAAAATTGCCATGTTTTCTGTCTAAGCAAACCTTATGTGATACCCATAATTTAAATATATTGGAATATATGTATAACGAAATGTCACAATCATGATTAGTCAATTGGATTTTTTTGAAATGAAATTCGAAATTTATATTTAACGAAAGATCTTAAAAATATGCAAATTATTTCGTATTATAGCAGATCTGATAAATTAAAAAATAACACTCGGTTTTTTTATCTGCGTGGTTATTTAAAGAGTTGATATTCTTTTATTCGCCTGGTGAAATTCAAATAGTATGTGTATTTGCAATCGAGATGGAAATTCTTCTTGGAAAACATGTGAGTGGTCCATTAACTTGTATTTTACTTCTACTTTCAGTACTATATTCATAGAAAAATATTTTCGTAATAATCCCAACTCTTTTTACAGTGATGTTAAATGTTGCGAAAATAAGTTATGCTTGTAAAGCCACCGTAGGCCAATAATTCTCAATCCCCAAATATCTAGACTGCGAAGACTTTGTGAAAGTGATACCACGGCCTCACAGAAAACCGGCGTGAAACAACCACAGCGTTGTGTTTCGCCGTGTGAGGGAGGTTACCGGAGGCCCAATATTTTCCCTCCGCCGATCCCTAAATCTCCAAATCCCTAATTCCCAAAAGGTTGGCAATGCACTCGTAACTCTTCCATTGTTGGGTGTCCATGGGTGGCGCTGATTGCTTACCATCAGGTAATCCGTCTGCTCGTTTACCGACATATTACATAAAAAGGTACTTGTTACCACCATCAACAATTCAAAATATAAGAATAAATCTTGTATAACAATATTTTCCAGTTATCAGCCTCAGTTGTTTCATCTGTGTAAAAAGTTCAATAAAAATAGTTGGGATTGTTACAAAAATATTTTTCTATGAATATAGTACTGATAAAACGTTATGAATACGGCCTATGAATATGTGTTGTACTGTCTGTCTGTACATGTCATGTCTATTGTATATTGAAATACCCCATGTGTATAAGTCAAAACAATGTTTTATTTGTCCAAACCGTTGGATCAAACATTGGTCGTAACGACCAATTTTCTTTCCATGTTTTGCCGCCTCATTTCACATTTTATATAACCCTAATAGAGCTATAATAGATAATAAAAGTGATGAATACATAGGTAACATACTTTTCAATCATGGCAATTAGAGACACAATATAAGGACAATAGATACGCGAACGCCGGCGTTCCCTTGGAGTTTGATGAATAAGCTGCAATATTTTATTGATTTTGAAGAGTATAGATTTTTAACTGCACGGTTGGCGCGCTTGCCGCGCAACATGACGCTGGTTTGATTCCTGCTCGGAAAAACTCTTTGTGTGATCCACAAATTGTTGTATGTGAAATTATATGTTTGTAAACGCAACCCACGACACAGGAGAAAATGGTAGTGTAGAGTATCGTCTTATTTAAGATTTTAATTTGCCTAATTTTTGTTTAAAGTATGCTCAGGCAAAAATGTTCTGTTGTCATCTCTATTCGTAATCTCTTACAAAATTTATTGTCAATATTTTTTTGTATTGTGATAAAAATGTGCTGAAGAATTGCCTTTTTTAAGGTACAATTAATATTTTTATCATCGTTTTAAAACCTAAAGGTGAAGATCTGAAAATTAAGCACCATGACTTAAAATCACAAAAAATGTTTAATCATTTCGGCTATTTAACTTTTCCAAATTATTTTTTTTGGTACATGTTTTTTTTTAGAAAAAAATTTGGTTATGTTTTTTTAATTATCTGTAAAATGTAGCCGTACCTTATACTATACTTTGTTAATATTACAATCTGTAAAAAGTATTTATTGTCTATAAGCCATTTATGTGTGTCACATAATTATCCAAAATGTTTAATCCGAGTGCTAATACGTACATGCCTTATCTGTTAATGATATGTCATTAAAGGAATTTAATATATTTATAAAAATATTAAAAAATAATACTCTCTAACTGTGCAATGTTTTAGGAATTTTATCTCGTATATTTTTGTTTTATTTCCTATAAGTATCGTCGACATATTTTTGTATTAACGCGTAAGATATTAAATTAATTATGTTGATGCTACTCATGAATATGAGCCCCCAATACGGCTTGAAAGTAGTCGAGGTAACTCGTCAAACAGTTGTGTGTAGCCGTCAAACATAATTAATTTAATACCGTTGACATTTCATACCACAGATAATCTTCCAAATTTATAAAAGTTTGTATCTAAGCACTGGTATTTTTGTGTAATTCCATAATTATTTGTTTTTCCATAGTGAGTAATGATAGTTTTTATTAGAGCGGTGATAATATCTGTATTTTTTAACTTGTATCTGTCTGAGCTTCAGTAAGATTTATGATAAAGTAACATGGACCTAAAATGTGTGTATATAGCTTAATATTATAGTGTATATAGAAAGGAAAATAATATAAATTAATGGCAATACGTGGAGGTAATGTTTTGTTTTATTTTTCATACCTTTTTTAAGTGTTTTTGACTGCACGGTTGGTGCGGTGGCTGGGCAATTGGCTGCCGTCCAACGTGTCGCGGGTTCGATTCCTGCACGGAACAACACTTTGTGTGAACCACAAATTGATGTTTCGGGTCTGGGTTTCATATGTATGTGACATTGTATATTTGTTAACGCACCCACAACACAGGAGAAAATCTTAGAGTGGGGCAACATGTTTTTATTGTTAAGTGAGACTGAGTGGAAGGGGTAAAATATTTTAAACTATACACGAAACTCTTTTAAAGAGATGAAAGACTCATGTGAGATCATTGCACTGTGCTAAGGGGTAAGTTCAGGTGGGCTTTGTTAATGAAGTACATTTCTTGAGATACTATAAGTAACTACTTTATTTTGTGAGGTGAAATCATCTCTCCTTTCCTTCGGAGGGTGATGCGAGAGATTTTACTAAATAAAAACACCCTGTTCCTTCTCCTGCTTTAGGCCGAGGCCGCGGTACCTTATTGCGCTAGTTTTCCAGCCCTGGCTGAACTATAAGTAAGTACCTACTACTACAAAAATAAAAATACTGTGCCTACTATACAAGGCTAGAGTGAATAGGCACTTAATAAACTAGTGCGCCTTACCATCAACGATTGCATCACTGCTTACCATCAGGTGGGATCGCAGTCAAGCACTAGTTTATTGCAAGTAAAAAAAAAATCTGCAAAACAGAAGAAACAAAATACTAATACTCTTCCCGACACAAGATTCCTGGTTGGGGGCAAAGTGGATGGACGAAAGTGAGCTAGCTTGAAGCAAGAGATAAAACGGTGGTGGTTTTGGTCAGTAAGAGTCTGACACACCATGTACTTCCCTAGCCGAGAACTTGAATATTTTGAATCTTCATAAACAGGAATCCAACCGTCCCCTGTTTTGAAATTCGACAGCAGTTTTATTTCTGACTAGCTACTGTCACGCGGTTTCACCCGCTGCTCGGCTCCATTTGATCGTAGCGAGATGTTTTTTAGCTTATAGCGCTAAGGAGCATTTCATCTATCAGTGAAATAATTTTGGCAATCCGACCAGCGGTTCCATAGGTTACCCCCTGACCCTCTCCAGCGGTTCCATACATACAAACTTACAAATATTACGTCTTTACAATATTAGGGACACTTGGGAGTACCGTAATTATCCAATTAAAATAAGAACCACGACCAACTATCTACCATATATCCACGCACATAATGACCAATAAATGATGTTTTTCCTCCTATCATTTCTGAGAACACGCGTGATGCCGCTTACCCTCCTTATAAGGCCCGTTACTTTATAATGCAAGCTTTAGCAATTTTAATGGTATTACGCGGAAGTTTGTGATGTAGGTATTAATCAGCAGGGCCCGTAGCAAATTTTGTCAAGGGAATCTCGATCTTATACATAAAAGATATGGACTATCCTCAGAAAAATTGTTAAAGAACCATTTTAGGCTAACGTTCATTTGTAATTTAGTCATTATTTATTTAGTATTAGGCTATCATTTGGCCTCTATTACGGCTGGCGATAATCGATGATGCGGATGGGCCTACGATAGAACTCATACAAGCAACCTATTCACTCGGACTTTGAATACACCCAGGTCATAAATACCCTTCGGGGAACACAGACACAGTTAATACGGCTAAAAATAAGGGCATCTGAAGTAATAAGAATCATTGTAAGAATACTCTTAGCTCTCGTTTTATTACCTTAAGAATCCTATTACCTTCAAACTTATTTGAATATTTCGATCAAATTTATAAGGTTGCTATTCATTGTGGGTACCCATTTTTGCGGGACCCGAAGCGAATGTAAAACTAAACTACCAAATCCCACAATGGCGGAAGGGTAGTTTCTGTAAGCATCTCGATCAGCGCCCGCACTGGGAATCGTAACGCAATCATGTAGAAAATTTATTGAATAAACGCAGGCCATGAGAATAGCGGGTTCTACCTATATTTTGTATAGTTTGCACATGTTACTGATAAAGATAACTAATTACATTATATTTACGCGGGTATTAACGCGGAAAATTATAATTTGAATACCTTGGTAGGCTTGACGTTTCGACCCGGTTGCACAGTTCAGTCTGCTTGTGACCACGACCTGTGCAACCGGGTCGAAACGTCCAGCCTACCAAGGTATTCAAATTATAATTTTCCCCGTTAATACCCGCGTAAATATAATGTTGTTAAGATGAAACGCGAAAGTTTAAAAGTTAAGATAACTAATCATAGTAAAGCTTCAGTCTTTCGAGACGCGTTTTTGAATCTGCGGTTTAGATGTATGTCGATGGATAAAGAAGGTTCTTGGATTTCAGAATTCTTTCTAAGGTAAGATGCGAAGTTGGTTATTCAATTTAATAAGTATATAGATACCTGTAGGTATCTTAATAAATAGAGTCGCAAACTTTATCCAGTGCAGACTTATGTATCCCTCAAGGAACAAAGGTATTATGATGTCACAATTTATGTCTAACTAGCTTTTTTCTTGCATTTCTAACAGATAAGCAAAAGTTGACGAAGTTTATTCAAAGAAAACTACCTAACATTCAATATGAGATAGAAACTCATACCTGTTAACCAAACGAGATTACTTAGAACCAGCCCTACGAAAACAGAAATCAAAACAAACAAGAATCTACAAGCAAGTCACATACATAAACATCTCTTCCACTTGAGTCGCAGTGTTAGCGTTGGAACCACTTTCTTAAACCTCACTTTTAATGGCCTTGTAAAAAGCGACCGCGGCGAAAGTAGCTGTCGAGAAGTTCAATAGCACGGCCGTAACAGTACCGGGGCAGCCCACGGTGCACCGCTCGACTGCAGTCATTGCTCGTACATTGAGCGAAGATGTGGACTCTTCTAGTAGTCACCGTTTGTTGTGTCACATCTGTGTTGCCGGCGAAACATTTACCCAAATGGAAGAAACAGGTAATTACTTTATTTTTATTTAGATATTGCTTATGTGGTGTGATTTTTTGTGTCGTTCGATGTCACATTTTTATTAGATAGTTGATTTATAATAAAGGCATAGGTTAGAAGAGTTTAGAGTGAATTTAGATTAGGGTTTTTGGAAATGGATATGGCAACCTGGCAACCGTGTGTAACCTAACTGATAAATAACAGATTAAAAATCAATTAGCAAACTAGTTAGGTCTTGTGGCTTGTTCAATTTAAGTAGGTACTTAAATATTTGGAAGTGTATTAAACTGTCATAAATAGTGTCGAAATCTCATTTCCAAATAACATAAATTGTAAATAAGCAATTCAGTGTTATGTTTTCTTGTTTTTAAAACAAAACATTATGATTTAAATACATACCATACCTATATAAGTATATCAATCACTTAGGGATCTATCTAGATTGCTTACACCAAGAACAGCAGTTTAAAAACCTAATTTAAAAATTAAATAAAGTTAATATTATTGAAATAAGTATGTTGGTAATATCAAATTATAAAAATAAATAAATATTAGTAAACAAGAGATGAGTAAACGTTTTCACCGGCGTTTTCCCGCGGCCTACTTTCGGATGGCTTTCTCGCGGCTCATATTAGAAAGTTCCTGCGGTGAGTCAGCGAGATGCGTGTATCCTGGTGTTAGGATTGAAGGAGAACCCATCGCTTTCTACCTACTATTAACTATTAAGTATGTATTTACCTATAGCTAAATGAATCACGGTATCTACATCTAGAACACACGTCATTCCACTTAATATTGTCATGTCTGTACTATTCTTGTTTGCTTTGATTACTCTGATATATGTTTGTAATTCTACTGACGATTTGTAACTGATTGATAAGTAACACCAAAGTCTTACTTACCATTTACAGAAATAAATGAAAAATACAGGGAATCCTAATTGTTTTACTTATATAACGTTAAAAAGGACGCTACATTTAGCCATAGATAAAATGGTTTCTAGATAAACACATAGCTATGGTATCATGTAATAATACTTTAAAAAGTAGGTATTTAAAAAAGTATAGATACATATTTCAAACCCTAGTTTTGATGAAGATCTAAGCCTTAATTCGAGAAAAAAAAACAATATAATATGACATGGTAAACATTTTACAATAGTCCTGCATTAACCGGGGATTGTCCTTGGGTGCACTTTTATAATGCATACAGGGATAATTGCCGGCTGATGTCCCATCACATTTAGATTAAAATTATTTAAAATTGTTCAACGGGTCCTTGCGCGTTGGCTTCGGCTCCTCGTATGCCTTCCAAAAGTCCGGGACCCTGTGGTCCCGTGAAAGGAAAGAACTGACATGGTAATACTCTTTCAAGACTTGAAATAAACTTGTTAAGTTAATTAGTTATAAAATGTTATTGTCATTCAAACCCAACCTTTTTCTAAATACCTAGTTTTTATAAGCCTACAACAACGTCTCGATAACACTGCATGTGTAAACTTCGCACCACAACTCTTTGTATCTTAAATGTTCTGTAAATAACAAACTCATGCACTTTTTGATCTATTCACTACCTTCTAACTAACATCTTTTTTTCTACCTTCTGTAAGACGGTACGTATTCGACAGGCTTGTGAGCTGCCGGCAGTGCAGAGCGAGCATAGCCACTACATTTGCGATGATAAAGGGGAGCCTAAATGCCTCCCTGGGTGGCAAGGAGACCTCTGCGATGTGCCAATTTGCAAGAAAGGATGTGATCCTTTACAAGGTTTGTGTTGGTTTCATAATCTTATATAAATAAAAAATTAATAATCGTAAATTACTCCACAATACATGACCCAATATTGTCAATTCCTCTTTTTCGTTAGGTTTATTATTATCAGAAGCAGGTTCTAATGTAAGATAGTTTTAAAAAAGTAGAGGGGTAATTTGGAATTGGCTACCGAACCGTCGTTAGCGTGGTTTTGAACACCCATGCGTAGCAGGGTGGTGTTTGTACCTATTATAAAAAAATGAATCGCAAAATGTGCGTATAAGCACATAACTCTACAACGCATAGGCTAATTTTTTACAATTCCTCTTTTGTTGTGTGTTGTATTGTATTACCAGGAAAAGGTGTGAATTTTAAGTATACTTACATTTAACTTCGTGTTTTAAAAATTCTCGGACAATCTCTAGAAGACATTACTTACCTAAATACTATATTACTGAGACTGTAACTGGCTCTCAAACTCTTGCCTTAATTTACAATCCCATGTTCTCGTAGGCTTCTAATACATTTAAATAAACATTACATTTAATAACTACATAAAATATTCAACAACAAAATTCAGCCAACTGATTTCTAGTACATGCAAGTACCGCAATACACACACTTTCAATTTGACACGTTATTAACAAAACATAAAAACTGGCACAATGACTAAACGTAACTTCCCCGAGAGGTAACGGCTTGTCCCGTTTTATTCAGCTCATTAGCGATCCACGACGAATGTACCGCAAAAGTTTTTGTGCACCAGCCGGGCCGCCATCTTGGCAACAGTTAGGTATTCGATAACCTCAGCGCTTCAAATCGGTTTATTATCTTCGTTGAGCTTTTACAAATACGCTCTCTGTTAAGCTGTTAAGCTGTTTACCTTTGTTTTGATTAGTTTGTGTAGTATTATATCTTTTACATCTGATTCAACATTGACAATATTATTAAAGGCTTGAAACCTATCTTGGTATTGATCAGCTTAGTCTTAAATTATCTGTAGGTATATAAAATATACACATATAAAAAATATCTTACTTTTTATAGGTAACAGAGTTTTGTACAATTACTTGTGACATACTAATCATGTAATCCTGGATGTGTTCATTTGCCTTGGAAAACATCTGATGTACCCATGTACCTATACGATAAACCTAGACGATAAAAATTATAAATTGTTTAAAAAATACAATGCTATAAACCTCTAGGGTACTGCAAGCGTCCGGGCGAGTGTCGTTGCAAGTTAGGTTTCTACGGCGACCGCTGCAACAAGTGCATCCCGTTGCCCGGTTGTCAGCATGGCTACTGCAACGAATCCTTCGAGTGCATCTGCAAGGAGGGCTGGGATGGACTGTTCTGCTCTGAACGTGAGTTAAGATTATTTAACGTTATTATACTTTATATACACATTAAAACTGGCTCACTTATTCCAAAACAGACTTATCTTTAGCCTCGGTTTGAACCATTGAGTCAGTTTTTGTATTTTGAACCTTATTCTCACCTACCTTTAATTCGAAATACAAAATCTGGCGCAATGGTTTAAACCCAGGCTATTCATTCTATAAAGATAAATCGTATTTTGTAATTAATAGGCGTCGAATGTTTTTACATAAAAACGAGTGCGTAGCATACCTAAACATTTATTTGTAAGTTTGTCATAATGATTCATAGATGGAAGGTGTGACTCAGTGGACGTCAATAAAGTTTCTAAGAATAGATTCCTTCTTTTGTTTCTTTAAATAAAGTGTAGTTTTGATACATGGGCAAAAACATTTAAGTAGATGTTCAATCTCTTTTATTTTGGTGTGAATACCTACGTACATACCTAGTTATTTTCGACAAGGAATGTTTAGAGTTTTGCCAAAATCTTTACCAATTAGATACCATTACTACTTTCCAGTGTTATTTACATTATAAATTATGTTCGTGCAGCGATTTGCCGGTCTGACTGTCACGCAACCCGAGGTTTCTGCGAGTCGCCTGGGGAGTGCCGGTGCAAGCTGGGCTGGTCTGGCCCAACCTGTCGCTCGTGCCAGCAGCTGCCTGGGTGCCAACATGGATACTGCGACAAGCCACTAGAATGCAAATGTCTGCCAGGATACACTGGACTGTTGTGTCAGACTCGTGAGTATCGTATTTATTCTTGAAGAACGATCGTAATTATTTTTATATTTTATTTAATTACTAATCAGAAGCTTATTCTGTTATTACGGTATTTTCCCTAATGCTATAACTAAAACTTAGACTAAAATAAACTTTAACCACACAATAAACATAAAGTTAGAAAATTATGTGACGGAACATCGATTATTTAAATTAAATTTTGAAGGAGGTTTTATCACAATTCATCGGACGAGGGTACAATGAATCGTACTCTGGCGGAACCTCAAACAGACAGTTCTGCGTGCGCATTATAGCTGAGAGCGAGCGCTGTGACTGTCATAAGAGACGGATCCGTCCGTTATTTTTGTAATTTATTCGGTCTGATTATAAAATCCATCGCCCTGCGATGCACTGTGAAGACGATGATCGGGATGTTGATGTTTGTACCAACCCCCGGTGCATTCATATTAAACAATTCAATTAAATCAAAACAAAATATAATACAAAGTTTTTTTTATACATACAGTTGACTCTCGTTAATTCAAACCTGCGATAATTCGAACCTCTCTATAATATTCAAAGTGATCACGAGTTCCCTACAAATAAATCTCTTTATATTTCGAACTAAATCAATACATTTTCATACCTACACTTGGTAATTCGAACGAAAAAAATCATTGCTATATAAACAAAACGACGCGTTAATTCGAACTTATCGGCGTCCAACACTCGACAATTCAAAGTTGCAGAGAGAAAGAGGCGGAAAGATTGTAAGTACATTTTGCGACAAGTTCAAACTTTTATCAACGTACACGAGCCTTTGTTTTGATTCGTTTGACTATTTGACACACACACTTCTCAAATTCGTAACCGATAATTCGTACCTATACTCGGAATTTTAATTCCATTCCAGATTTGATAATTTCAGTGTTGCAACGTTATGACACGTAATAAATAGTGACGTTGCGAAATTATTCGATATGGAAATCGAATATTTCTGAATCGATTCCTCTCGTTTATACATTTACTCTCGTAAACTAAATCTATCAGGAAATAAAATATTTCTGAACCGATAATTTAGTTTTGACAATTAATTAACGATCTGAGACTTTTCTTTTGTAATTGTGTGTGAAATTAATAAAAAATGTGATCATGTAGGAACGTGACAAATAAAACAGACATTTTATAAATTGTCGCCGTCATCGCTATCGCCGTTACTCTATGTAACATTTATTATGAATTGTGTCTTTGATATTTATTGTCAATTAACATATCTAGCTTACTCGTTTTTTCCTCTTCTTTGAAAACATGGGATACACATTTAGACCATTCGGTAGCCGTAATTTTTTGAATACCTTCCTGAAACTGATTCACTGATTGCTTATCGATTTTTGTGTTCATCACTACACTGTTATATGTGGTATCATTATTTCACAAAATGACAGTGGTCAATGTCAAATCAGGAATCGAATTAAAAGTCTGACTATAATACTTTAAGAGTCCCTCGAGTTTCGAATTAACGAGAGTCGACTGTACATACTTATTTATATGTAATTTACTTAAACGGATTCTAAATGAGTTTCAGTACAGTTTTTCCACTTTCTAAGTTGCTAGTTGAATAATATGAGTTTCATGCAATAGGAAGCGCGATTTTAGACTCCACTTTTGTATCCACTGAGAATATTCGAAAAGTAAAATGATCACTTAAATATATCACTTAAATATATACACAAGTATTCAATATCCATTCTCCATAGCATAGATTTACATATCCTTCACTTCACTTCACTTAACAAAATGAATAAATAGTATTTTTTTGTGATGGAAAAGTCATTAAATGGTCTGAATTAATTAAGACTTAAAAGTGAATAAAACGTTTTTTTGGTGATGGAAAAATCATCAAATGACTGTTCCTGAAAGGGAGTGTCAGACTCATACTGACTAAAAATCCCCTCGTTCCTTCTTTTGCTCTGGGCCGAGGCTGCGGTGCCTCATTGCGCTTGCCCCGCAAGTCCGCTGTCCTTTCTTTTAGCAAATGTATTTTATTTTTGCTCGTATTTTTGCAGCCATCTGCGCCTCTGGCTGTCACGCTGAGCGTGGTTACTGCCGTCGTCCTGGCGAATGTCGCTGCAAAGTGGGCTGGACCGGCCCCTTCTGCAGCGAGTGCCACAGGTACCCTGGCTGCGTGCACGGCACCTGCAATAAACCCTGGGAGTGTCTGTGCGAACCTGGCTGGGGAGGCATGCTTTGTGATGAAGGTAAGTTTCTTGTTAATTATTAATTTTTTTATGGTCGGCAAACGAGCAGACCGATTACCTATGGTAAGCAACCAGCGCCGTCCATAGATGGGTGTCCATGGGCGGCGCTGGTTGCTGGTGCTGGCAACAGCAGAGCAATTAAGAGTGCGTTGCCGACCTTTTGGGGGTTGACTTTCATTTGACTTTGACTTTGAACATACAGTAGGGTTATCATAATTCAGGGACGATATAATTATTAGCCTAACATAAATACCCATTTTACTTTACTAAATCTGCATAATTTTCATCACACTTATCAATAAAAATCACTTCATTTCCTTACAGAACTGAACTACTGCGAGAAGAACCCAGACACGTGCCAGAACGGTGGGAAATGTATCTCTATGGAGTCTGGCGATGGATTCTTCAAATGTTACTGTCAGCCAGGCATTACAGGCAAGCATTGTGAGATCGTACCCGAAATCGCAACACCAGCCAACGCTACGATGACCGAAGAAACGAGTTCCGAAGACCTGACAGTGGTAGGGATGGAGACTTCTTCAGAGATGGGAAGTACGGAACCCAACAGTGGAGATAATGAGACTGAGTGATTTGTAGATTAGCAGTCATATTTTAAGTTAGATAGTACATTATTTATTTATAAAAATGTTGAGTGTTTATACTCGCTGGTTGATTATTATTCTCTTCGATGTTGACTGAGGTTTTACTTGAGGTTAAAAAGGTTGACAGGCAATTTATTTTTTAATCTTGTGTGTGACATAGTTTTGTCGAAAATAACGGCTTGTTCACGGAACTAACGATGTTATGAATGGGAGTTCCGTTGTGATTTGAAACTCGTAGAGCCTTTCTCGGTTAATCCACGTGATTAGACTCAATGTTATTAAAACTTAATTTAACATGTTTATAAAAATCAATGCCACTATTTGTTGTAACGTTTTTGTCAACAATACTTTTACCGATTTGGCTAATTTCGGTATTGAATTATTCGTGGAAGTCCAAAAAAGATTTGTACATAGAGAAAATTAAAAAAAAAGTGGAAAGTCGACAAACACGCGACCGAAGCCGCGGGCAATCGTTAGTTTAACATGTTTCGTTTATTAATTTAGGTATTACTCACGTAACTGTTTGTCAAGATAACTCGACTAGATTCAAGCAACGGTGGAGGTTAAAGCCTTGTTTACTCACACGCCTGACGTCGCGTCGGTGTTTGTAATACATTAGTGCATCCGCACCACGACCGCATTAGTACAAGCGCTAACACGAACATTATGAGCATTGTATGACGTACCACACAATGCGCCGCGTGGACTTTCCTGAATAAGCCCATAAATCAATCTATTATGTAAATGTAGTATGTCTTATAAAATTGATTAAAACCTCTTTTAAAATTGTGTCTATATTGCTGTTGGGTTACAGAATAACGTGACGATGTTATTTAAAAGCTTGGTTGGAATGATGCTTGGACTGTGTTCGTGTTTGGAAAACGACACACAATGAAAGACTTAGTGTGCTTGTCTCATAATATAATATGTGTGTCATTAACAGGAAGAGTGTTAACTACAGCGTTATTAAAAAAACTCATTACTCACTCGCATAAAAAAATATTAATAGATAGTAAGTACTTACCTACTGATGCCTGTCACATAAATTCAGTTGTAAAGAGGTAGGCATGACATGTATACCTACGTAACCTTTTTTTGTGGGTAGAAAATCATCAAATGACTTCTCCCACCCAGGGTCGAGTGGGAGCAAGTCTCAGACTTACACTGGCGGAGTTTGACTGAAAACAACCCCGTTCCTTCTCCTGCTCTAGGCCGAGGCCGCGGTGTCTCATTGCGCTTACCCCGCAACCCCGGCTAAACATCAGCCCTATAGGGCCCCGTCTGTGGTGGTCTATTGGCATGTATGTACTGTCCTGACTTAGCTTTCCGTGCCGCTGGTAGTGCCGTTGAAGCTCAGTAGATGTCCCTGCATGACCCGAAGGCATCAGATGGACGGGTAGGTGGTATCGTGCGCTGACATTAAGTTAGAAATCCGAAGGTACCTCCAATCTTTTTCCAGACACGAACGTACAATTTTCTATTTTTATTTAGTGCTAGAAGTAATTATCTAGACTGATTTGTGCAACGAGTTTATAGTGGTTTCAAAAGAATTGCAAAATCAATGTATGAGATTGACACTACATATAGGCACCTACATACCTATGTTAAATTTATTCATTGATTTAGCTCTCCGGTCATTGCTATTTGACTCAAAGCATAATATACTTATTATAAATAGTAAAAATTTGTGTGTCTTTATGTAATTAGTGGAAGTGTGTGTGTATTTATTATTTGTGCATTTGACGTATGACTGTTTATTTAATAAATTATTTAAGTTATTTATTTTTGTAATAAAACTTTTTTATAAGTTGACTACGAATTATTTTTTGTTGGACTCTATATCTACCCCCCCTTTTTTTAAAGAAAGCATGGCCTTACAGTCTGTTTTTAGTTCTCCTGTTGTAGGTGCGTTAACAATTTCACATACAAATAAATCATCGTAACATTATATATGACGTATCCCATACCAAATGAAGCTGTATATCTCCTTATCTTCACTGCATTACTCAAAGGTCAGTCTGGTAAACAATCCTATGCCACTAAGTTCGCCTATGTACCCACAAAGATGGAGGAAGCGTGGGGCTTTAAACAAACTGATGTAAATTTCATTTCACCACCCAATGATATTATATTAACACAGATATGTTATACGCTCACAAAACACACGAAAAATGTGTCCGCGCCAAGCGTCAGCACACTCACATACCTATTTATTAATTGTACATTCTACTACAAGTTAAAATTGTAGAAAAAGGATAGTAGGATAAATCCAACAAGATAAAACTAAATAGCTATTGTTATGAATTACATACTCAACGCAAACAAACATTATTCTGGCCACCAATTGGGTAGATAGTTTCCTAGGTCAAAAATAAATTAATTCGACGTTTCAATACAATAAAATATTGATAAATAACTATACTTTTATTCATCGATCGATCGATACCTACACTAAGTTTTCGATATTTTTTAGCTACTTTTTACAAATAAGTAAGCTATTTGACGCAAAAACACTATGACGTCATAGCTCAGTTTTTCATACAAATTTCGTAGAAAAGTATCGTTTTTGACATTTGGATAAAAGTATTGAATTTGAATAGTTGGAAACTACCGTATTGTATCATTATCGTCTTCAGTCTTCGCTTTTGTCCGATCATAACATATCTGTTAATATACCTATATAATATCATTGTCACCATCCTATAAGTAACGGGTGATGGGAAAAGCCCTTCTCCCATACCGAGAAGAATTGCTTATAGCGGATTAGCTTTTGAACTGATGTAGACTTTTTTACTGATGGTAAGCTACTGTCGTGGTGTACGTCGTGGTAGCCTGGAGGTTAAGGCGCCCGCTCCTCATGCATGTGGGTGCGGTTTCGAAACTCGGCAAGTTCCAATGCGATTTTTCCGTTTTTGTTCCGACTTTCTATGACATGAAGGAAAACATCGTGAGAAAACCTGGATTTAGAATGATTAATTATAAGTTTGAAATAGTCAAGCCGCCTTGAGCAAGCGTGGTGATTATTGCTCAAACATTATTTATATGAGAAGAGGCCTTTGCTCAGCAGTGGGCACTTATGGGCTTATGTGAAGCAATTGTCGATGCTCATGGACATTTGTAAGGACCTAAGGAACGTTAGGCATTATAAGGAATTTAAGGAAAGGGGATTAAGGGAGTTAGGTTGAGATGAAGGGGGGGGGATTGGGCTTCCAGTAACCTCACTCACACGGCGAAACATAAAGTAAATATTGCGGTATTATGTGACGCCGTGGTACCACTCTAGTCGAGCCGATCCATTCGTGTCGAAGCTTGACTCTTTGGTTCTTGTCATAATTAGAACACTGCATAAGTGAGAAGCGGACATCTTAACCTCAGGGACACAGCGACATAACACATTTTTTGTGATGTAATGCACACGAACCGTTCACACAGGTAATGCATTATTCAAATAATCAGTACGTTTTAAACGAAGTAAGGTTTTACTGATTTGATTAACACATGCACCTAATGTAGGTGTAGATAACCTAATTACAAATTTAAATTGATCTCAATCGCCAAAATGGAGAGTCCACGCCCGTCTTGAGCACTGGATAACGTCCGTTCGAGGCATTCCTTTAACGACTAGTCTATTTCATATTTATGAGGGAATTGGTATAGATCTAACTATTTACCTAGTATTACCTAAATTGAGGATTTATGTTTTTATAGGATTTATTATTTATAGGTAGGTACTTTAGTATACTTTACAAGCTTTGTCCTGCGACTCCGTTCGCGTGGTATAGTGACTTCCTGCAGATTTTTGGTATAAAAACTATGCTATGTCCTTTCTTGAGTTTCAAACTACATATATCTGTACCAAATTTCACAGAAACTGGTTCAGTAGTTTAGGCGTAAAGAAAAGACAGACAGACAGACCGAGTTACTTTCGCGTTTATAATTTACCTATAGATTTACTTAGATTCCATATCACTGACATACCATACGGAGAATGAAAACGATGATAAGGAAACCTGGGCTTTAATATGACGGATAGATACAATTCGCATATTTTAAACATTTTCACGAGGAATATAATAATAATATGTAAATAATTATATAATATAGGTACTACTGGATTCTCTGTATCACCCAAAGGTTAACTGGTAGAGAATATAGGTGAAACATTCTATCGACGAATCTCTCAAAAACGAAACGTCCTGTCGGTGATCAGTCCAAAAGAGAACTGACTGTCGGAGAACGGTTGCAGAATCAGAATGCTCAATGTCCATCTAACGTACATGTCAAATTGTGCATGAAGTATAAAATAAATAAATATTCTTACAATGACTTCTGTCGCTCTGTACCTATCTATGGGGCGAGAGTGAGTGTCAGACATGAGGATCTTACTGACTAAAAGCCATCCCGTTGTTACTCCTCGTCCAGGTCGGAGCTGCGGTAGGTATATTAATGCAATTGACTCAGAACCCTGAATCGCTTATCTCTATAACTTTTAAGTGTGGGAGAGCCATGCTTCGGCACGAATGGGTCGGCTCGACCGGATTAATACCACGGCCTCACAGAAAACCGGCGTGAAACAACCACAGCGTTGTGTTTCGCCATGTGAGTGAGGTTACCGGAAACCCAATCCTATCCGTTCCCCAATCCCTCCCCAGTCCCTAAATCTCCAAATCCCTAAATCCTAAGAGGCCAGCAACGCACTCGTAACTGCTCTGTTGCGGATGTCTATGGACGGCGCTGATTGCTTACCATCAAGTAATTCGTCTGCTTGTTTGCCGACCTATTACAACTTCGCAACTGGCAAACTTCAATTCCCGCACGGACCAAAAATTGTTGTTTCGGGTCTAGGCAACTTGCATTTGCATCCACGACTCAGGAGAAAACCCCAGTGTAAGGCAACAATTTTTTTTTAATTATTGATCAATTTAGCTTTTCCGAATTTGTAAAAACTATTGTACTCTTTTTTTAATTGTTCCAAGATTTAGCATTTTGGG